TTATTATTTTACCTTTTACAACAATATTGGGATTATACCTGGGTTCTTTTTCTGGGAACATACTAACAGGAAGGTCCATATGAACAAGAAAAATGATGCAGTTGATGGTTTACATATAAATATATATATATATATATATATATATGTGTGTGTGTGCTTGTGTGAATATTATGTTTTTTAATTTTTTTTTTTTTTTTTTATAGATTTAATGATTATAGAAGATCTAAATTTCTGGGAACATTACCAGCAAATGTGTTTATAAAAAAATAAATAAAAAAAAATATATAATATAATGTAACATATATATTTTGATGTATTTACACATATGATATATATAAATGAATTTTTATGTTTAATATTTACAAGCTAATATATATTCATAATTAAATATTTAATATATATATTTACTTATTTATGTATGTATATATATTTTTTTAAATTATTTATAACATTTTTGTGTGCGTGTGTGTGTGTGTGTTTTTTTTTTTTTTTTTGAAATAAATATAAATTTATAAAAACATTTACAAATATAATTTATTTCATTCGGACTTTAAAAATATAAGAAAATATAAATAATATATATATATATATATATATATTTATTTATTTATTTATTTATTTATATATTTATTTATAATATGTATACAATGAGATGTCATAAACTACGGTTTCCATTGATAAGTCTCATTATGTCATGTGTTTTATTCTTCATTATCAAACCTAGTGAAGAAATATTTCAGACGAAGGGGCTGGAAGGAACGGAAAAAAAGCTAGCTGTTAATTTGATCAAAATATATGAAAAAACAAAAGATTTGGAATATATTTTTCATGAAAACATTGATAGAGTTCACAACATGTTTAATGAAATAAGGAAAAAAAGTAACATTAACAATAATGATGATAATGATAATATAAGTAAATATAAATATGATGAGGAAAATATAGAAACCGAAATAGAATCTCCTTTAAATCCATCCTTAGCTCCAAGTTTTATAGAAATGCAATCGAAAGGACCGGTGGAAGAAGAAACAATATGGAGGGCTCTTTATGACACTCAACTAAGAAGATCCCCACCTACAGAAGAGGTTCATGTTTTTTCTTCTGAGGATGTAAGGAAAGAATATAAAGAAGCTAAAATGGATTCTTTTATATCACAAATTGATATGATGAAATCAGAGTTCGATAAAAACTTAAATTATATGAATGCAGAAATGTTTAGACAAAAAAATAAAAAAAAAGTATTACATGATGCATATTTGTTTGGTCAGAATATAAAAAAAATGAACAATAAAAGGACATGTAAAAATGGACCTCTGAAAAAGGAATATTCTACTCAGATATTGTGTTGAAAATTTTTTTTTAAATAATAAAAATGAATGTAATGTGTACATATATATAAAAAAATATAAATATATATAACTATATATATTTATATTTTTTATATTTATACATTTTTTCACATATATACATTGAGACTATAGAAATACCTTCTTTTTAGAAAATGCATCTTTATAATATACCAAAAGAAGGTTGTAAGACTTGAAATCATTTTTAAGATAAAAAATGTCTTCATCAAAAGAAACTATGACTTTGCCTTGTTTAGCAAATGGTTTTATGATAGTACCGGTATGTAATATATTAGAAGTATTTCCATGTGTTGCATTTCCTTGTGTTGCATTTCCATGTGTTGCATTTCCATGTGTTGCATTTCCATGTGTTGTATTTCCATGTGTTGTATTTCCATGTGTTGTATTTCCATTTTTTTGATCATATGTAGATTTAACAATATAAATTTTTTTATCTATATATGGAATAACCTGGTTCGATGACTGAAACAAATTTTTACATATAATAGTATGTTCATCTATTATTTTATCTATGTTTCCATTTTTCTTTTTTTCTTTAAGGATTTTTAAATCTTTATATTCTTCATATTTATATATGTTTGGTTGTTTATTAAAAACGAAAGAATCGTCTTTTTTATGTGTACAATTTTTATCGATAATTTCTATAATTTCACCATATAAGCATATTCTACAATTTGCATTTTCATCATTTTTTAAGAATATGCATTTTTCATTTTCGAAGCAGTGAATTCTTCTTTTCATGACAACAAGAAAATAAATATCATCACTATGATTATTGTTATTATTATCACCACTATGATTATTGTTATTATTATCACCACTATGATTATTGTTATTATTATCACCACTATGATTATTGTTATTATTATCACCACTATGATTATTGTTATTATTATCACCACTATGATCATTTTTATTATTATCACCACTATTATTATTATTATTATTATTTCCTTTTTGTGTGTCATCATAACATAGTTTATCTAAAAGTAAGTAATTTCCTTTCCTATCAAACTTAATGTCAACATTTAAAATACGTTCTGATGATGCAGGGAACACATCATCCCCTTGTGAAATTTCCTTATAATTTATCTTCTTAGATTGATTTGTTTCATTTTTGTTTTTAATTTTTTTAAAAAAATATCCATAACATTCTGTTGAAGAAAAACCAATAATACAAATAAAATGTTCTGAATTATTTAGATTCTTTTTATAGAACTCTACTTGCTTCACTTTACATATAAACATTGAAAAATATGATATATTTGATGTCTCATAAACTATAACTCCTCTTTCATTTTTTTTTATATTTTTTATATTATTGTTTAATATTAAAAGAGATAATCGACTTCCTTTTTTCCCTTCATGTACTTTTTTTTTAAAACTTTGTATTTCTTTAACTTTCCCTGTTTCATTTATTGGTAATATGGTAACATTACAATTTATTTTTATTTTCCCTTTTATTACCGTTCCTGTAAATATAGTTCCTTTCCCTTTAATATTGAAATAATGATCATATAAAAAATAAAAATCTTCGTATGTTGAAATTTCTCTTTGTGGTATTTTTATAACATCAGTAAGAACATTAATAATTTCTTTAATATTTAATGTTTTATTTCTAAATGTTGTGTCCGACAATGAATTATTTTCATACGATTTATTGTATGATGTAATATGTTGTTTATTTAATGTGTTGCACTCTTCCTTTGTATCATTATTTAATAAATTTTGTTGATCCCCTTCAACATCTTTATTATTTTTACTTTTTACATTAGCTGATATGCTAACAATGTGATATTTCAACTTTTGTAGAGACTTGAATTTGGAAAAAGTTTCTTGTATTTTTTTCTTTATTAAATTAATTTTTTTTTCCCTTAAAAGTACAGGTATAAGATCGATTTTATTTAAGACAATAATAATATCACAATTAATTATTTTACATAAAACTAGACATTCGATGGTTTGTTTTTGTATTCCTTTATTTATATCTATAACTAATAAAATCACATCTGTAATATTTGATCCCATAATAATACTTTTTAAAAGCGAATGATGTCCTGGACAATCCACTAAACATATTTGAATTATTTCTTCGTCATAAAAATATATATTATTATAATTATGTTTGAAATTTGTATTATCATAATATTTTTGTTGTTCTTCTTCTTCTACATTATATTCAATATTTGTATTATCATATAGTATATTATGTAATTCATTTTTCTCTTTTGTTTTATAATCTAAAAGTGCATTTTGATCAATCATTTGATAATTTGGTAAATTTGTTTGGATTTCTCTCTTGTGATTTATTACATTATAATTATTTTTTATTTTTTTCTTTATATAGAAAGAAGAAAAACCAAGGTCGATCGTTATGCCTCTTTCTTTACTTTCTTTATGTTTATCTAGGGCGCACGTACTTAAAACTTCGCTCAAACATTTGCAGAGACTAGTTTTTCCAGAATCGACATGCCCTAAAACACCTACATTAATATTTATCATAAAGGAGAAATTTCTATAAATAAGCAACTTTCAAAATATATATATGTTTTAATTTTTTATTTTATGACAAATATTTTATATGACTTGAGCGTAATCACACTGCAATCTGGTACATAAAAAAAAATATATATATAAAATATATGTATATATAAAATATATATATATATATATATATAATTATATATATAATTATATATTTATATATTTATATATTTATTTATCAAGTTTTAGGTACAAAATGAAGTTGAAATATTTAAATAAAATAAAATAATATATAAATGTTAAATGCTGCGTACATATTTAGTCATATACAAAATTATATATCCATGTCATATTTTTACTTCACATATGTAATAATTAAATATATATATATATATATGTACATATTTATTTATATTTATTTATTTATTTATATTTATTTATTTATATTTATTTATTTATATTTATTTACTTATATTTATTTTTATATATTTATATTTTTTCATTTTATTTTAAAATCTATACAAGCATTTCATTTATTCAAAAGCAGGATGGATATTGAAAAGTGCTATGAACAGTCATGTAAGAACAGAGATAAAAAGAATGAATCTAATATAAAGAATATATATGAAAATAAGAAGAAAGAAATATATCCACCTGATAGAGATGAAATAGGTAGAGCATCCTGGTTAATTTTACACACAATATCAGCAAATTATCCAGATAATCCATCAGAAAATGATAAAATAAAGCATACGAAATTTTTTTATGCTTTTTCAAATTTATATCCTTGTCATATTTGTAAATTAGATTTATTAAACATTTTAAAAAAATATCATTTAAATTGTAACAATAAAATTAATTTTTCAACTTTTATTTTTAATTTACATAACATGATCAACCAAGAAATTGGTAAGGACCTTTTCCCATGTCAGGATATACAAACGATAATTGAAAAGTACAAAACGGTTGATTAAAAGGGGGGAAGATTTTTTTGCCTTTTTTTCATATTTCGCAACTGAAATGTGAAAAAAAGAAAAATGAAAAAATAAATAAACAGGATGATACAATTGGAGATTATAACTACCAAGGAAGATAAGCCATATTAATAACCAAAACTAAAATAAGTTAAAACAAAATAAAATAAAATAAAATAAAATAAAAATAAATAAATATATATATATATATATATATATATATATGTAATATTTTTTTTTATGCAATATGTTATTTATGCAAATGTGTACATTTGGAGTCTTTTAACTTTATAATATATTTACAGTAATAACGTTTTTTTTTGAAATGAACAAAATGATGAGATATAGGATGAACAACAAAACAAAAATGTATCACAAAAAAAAAAGAAAAAGAAGAAAAAAAGGAGAAGAAAAAAAATAGATGAAAAAAAAACAAATCAGCATATAAATTATACACATAAATGTAATTATTATATATATATATATATATATATATATATATATATATATATATTTTTTTTTTTGTATAAACATTAAAAAACAAAAAAAAAAAAGCTTTATAAAAGTATACATCTATAAGTATGTATGTATGTATGTATGTGTGCTGTTAGGGTTGATAACATATGATCAATATGATATAGTAAGATTGAAAAAAAAGAAATGCATTTATATATTATACTATTCACGTATGGAGAATTATAAAAAAAAAATATTACTAGGCGAGAGTTAAATAATATAAATACGACTTTTAATAGCAAGTAGGATGTAATCCTATAAATTAAGATACACGTCGTACAAATGTATAAAAATATATATACATATATATATACATATATATATATATTTCTGTCATTCTTCACAGAAATATTCCTCAACATTTATGTCATAATCATTTTCTCCTTCTGATTGAACCTCACTTTGCAATTCACCATTTGATTTTTTATCATTTAGATTTAATATTTTATACAATTCTTCTTGTAATTTATTACCTTCTTCCTCTTCTTGTTTATTTTTTTTTTTTTCTTTTTCTTCTTCTTCTTCTTCTTCTTCTTTTATTGTTGTCCATGCCTTTTTATTTTTCTTTATATAACCATCATGATTTGATAAAGAGAAATTATCTTTCTCACGTTTAACAAAAAAATTTGTATTTAATAAATCTGCATCTTCTGAAATATCAGAAGACTTATCACTTTTAAAATAATTTTCTTCATTAATTTTTTGAGCTTCTTTCTCCCAATAATAACAACTTTTATTTGTACAAACGTATATTAAAGCCATAGGATTATAACTTATCTTTTCAGCTAGCTGTAAAAATACAGCTTCATTATTTCCACATTGTTTACAAGTCCAATCTCTTACCCTTCCTAAGGCTGGATCATTTTTTGTTTCGGGATGGATATAAATATCTTCTCTATAAATAAATATATAAATATAAATATATATATATATATATATATATATATATATTACATATGATATTCGTATTAGGTTTATGAAAACATACATCCTATACATATATACAAGAAAAAAAAAAAATAAAAAAAATTATCTTCTTTTCATTTTACTTTCTGTCGTAGTTATAATTAATCCTTGCCACAATATTATTATTTTCATTCGGCTTCAGTGATATATACTCACAGCTCCTACAAACATATATCAACTTTTTACTTTTCCTGTCACTCTTCGCATATAAAATATTATTACATTCTTCACAAAAGCGTACCTCCGCCATGTTTTTAAAAAATCTTATCACAGGGACAGGTATATACGAATAAAAGGAATATACTTGCAATGTATAATATAAATATAAAAGGTTACATTTATTAATTAAAAAATGTAAAATATGATATATAAGGTGAGAAAAAAAAAAAAGAAAAAAAAAAAAAAAAAACATATATATATTAAAATATATATGAATATTATTATTATTATTATATATTATTATGTATATGCAAATTTAAACTTTTTATTTTTTATTTTTCATTTTTCATTTCCTATGTACAATAATTTTTTAAAATATTTAGTATTGTATAAATGGATGGAAAAATATGGACCTCTTTAAATATATTATGCAGTTACAAGAAAAAAAAAAAAAAAAAAAAAAAAAAAAAAAAAGTTTGTCCTTAATAATATTAAATATAAATAAATTGATATATATATATATATTTATACAAACATACATATATATATTATATATGTTTCTATTTATTTATTTAAAAAAAAAAAAAGCATATTGTAAAATAATAAAATTTATTTTATAAATAATTAAAACAAAAACATTTATATTAATTAATGTGGTATTATTTTTATACGTTATAAAATTATATATATATATATATATATATATATATATATATATATATATATATAATATATATATATGTATGTTATATATTTTTTGGGTACTTGTTTTTGAATATTTCATATTTTTATTATATACATATTATATATATATATATATATATATATATATATATACATTTACTATATGAAGGAAATTATCTAATCTAATGATGTATATGTGATCTACATACTAATTATTCGTTTGTTTGTTTTTTTTTGGGGAAATTGGGTTTAGCTATAATATATATACATTAATCCACATTTTTTAAAAAACATTAAAAAATATATATTTAAGAACATATATATATATATATATATATATATATTTTTTTTTTTTTTTTTTTTTTTTTTTTTGTGTTTAAATATTTTTAGAGTGCATGTAATAAAAATATAATGTTATAGTACTACAATAATGTCATTATTTTTTTTTTTTTTTTTTTACCTTCATATATATGATAATATATATATTTATATATTTATATATATATGAAAAAAAACCTATTTACATTTCAGTTTAAAATTTTTAACATGTTTGCTTATAAAAAAATGTTAGAGATTTTATTGTATTATTTATAAAAATATTAAATGTATATATAATATAATATAATATTTTATATATATATCTTTTATTATTTTGATAATTATAATTAATTATATGTATATATATATATATATATATATAAATTGCTTTATTTTTGAAATAAACAATTTAAAAAAAAAAGAAAAGAAAATACACAGTTTTATGAAAGATAAATAATCATACACTGTTATGTATAATGTGTAAATAAAAAAATATATATAAATGTAATATTTTACCATACTTGTATTAATATAAATACATAATAACATATATACACTATATGATATGATATAAGATGATATGATATAATATGATATGATATGATATAATATAATATAATATGATATAATATAATATGATATAATATAATATGATATAATATAATATGATATAATATAATATGATATAATATAATATCTCTTTCATTTTATTATCCCTTTGATTTAATTTTTTTCTCATTTCTATTTTTTTTCTCTTTTCTCTTTTCTCTTTTCTCTTTTCTCCTTTTCTCTTTTCTCCTTTTTTTTTTCTCTTTTTTTTTTTTTCTCTTTTTTTTTTTTTCTCTTTTTTTTTTTTTTTTTTTTTTTTTTTTAATGGAAACAAGAAGAAGTTTAAAAGAAAAATATAATCATAAAGATTTCGATACAACTATACAGAGTGTTCAAAGTAAAAATGCTGAAAACAAAAATGGAGAATCAAAAAATGTATTGAAACACTCAGCTAGCGAAAAAAGCAAATCAGGAAATAAGAATAATAGAAAAGGTTCAGAAGAGAAAGAAAACAATTTATTTAATTTAAAAGAAGATTTAGAAAAAAAAATAAAAAATAAAAGAACAGATAGTAAAGACATTGCAAAGAATAATATAAAAACTAATGTTCCTAAGAGGAAAGAGAAAAAAAATAATATTATAAGCAGTACCTTATATATAGGAGATGCTGATGAAAATCAAGAGAATAATGATGATATAAAAGACAAATATGATAACAAAAAGGATGAATATGATGATGAGAATGATAATTATAATATTAGTAAGTGTTTAAGCATATATGAAAAAAAAAACATTGATTTTGAAAAAAGGAAACATGCTACACACATGAACAGAATAATGAAGGAAGAGAAACTTAGCAACAGCTCTTCTATTAGAGGGAATAACAAAAATAATCCTAAGGAAATATCCAAGGGTAATGATAATAATAAAAAGGTGGGAGGTACCCAAAGCGTGCCCGAACAAGTAAGTTCAACAAAAGGAAAGTTCAATAATATAAAGAAAAGTAAGAATGATAATAATATATGTGATTATAGTAATATATGTGATTATAGTAATATATGTGATTATAATAATACTTGTGATGATAACAATACATGTGGTGATAACCATAATTGTGATGATAACAATACATGTGGTGATAACAATACATGTGGTGATAACCATAATTGTGGTGATAACCATAATGGTGGTGATAACCATAATGGTGGTGATAACCATAATTGTGATGATAACAATACATGTGGTTATAACCATAATTGTGATGATAACCATAATTGTGGTGATAACCATAATTGTGGTGACAAATATGGGTATGATGATGATCTCATTGGTCATAATTTATTTGAGGAAAAAAAAGGAAATCTAAAAGATATTTTGAAAATAATAAATTATAACAAAGAAAGTATAAATGATCTATCAGATGAGAAAAAGGAAGAAAAACATATTGATATAGACAATGTTCTATCTACTCTATGTAGTGATGATAATATATATAGTTATGGTAATTATAACAAAAACAGAATAAATGAGAAGAGAAAAAAAAATCATGTTAGCTATTTTGATAAAACATTAGATGATGATCTATCTAAAATTATTCAAAATAATGAAGAAACTGATTTGAATATAATTAAACAAATACATGATATTATAATATCAGAAAAGGAATCATCACAATATTCTTGTACAAATGTTATAAACAAAATGAAAAGGGAGAGAAATTTAACTACACATAAGGATAATATAAAAAATGTAAAAAGTGTTGAAAAGGTAAGAGATAAAGATGGTATTATGTTTTCTCATGATAAGGCTGGAAAACATGGAGTAGAGAAAAAGGGGATAAAGGAAAATAGAGAGAAAGATAAAATATCGCATGATAAGTTAGAAAATAATAATAGTAAGAAAAATACAACCACAAATGCAAATACAAATATAGCCACAAATATAACCACAAATGCAAATACAAATATAACCACAAATATAGCCACAAATGCAAATACAAATATAGCCACAAATATAGCCACAAATATAACCACAAATATAACCACAAATACAAATACAACAACAAACATCTATAACCATATGAATGGTAAGAATGGTAAACTACATCATAGTAATGTTCTGAAAAGATCAGAGAGAACTAATAAAAAAGAAAAGGAAGAAGAAAATAATAGCGATGATGATAGTTATAATTCTATAGAAATAGAACCATTAACACATAGACTTAGTGAGAATAAATCTAGAAATAACGGAGAACA